TTAAGTCTGTAATCAATTTTGAGTTGAATTTTGTGTATGGTGTAAGATAAGGGTCAAATTTCATTATTTTGCATGTGGCTGTCTAGTTTTCTGAGCATTTTGTTGAAGAGATTTCTTTTCCTTGTTTTATATGTTTTTGTATACTTGTAGAAGATTGTTTGACTGTAGATGTACAGATTTATTTCTAGGCTCTGTATTTGGTTCTGTTTATCTATGTGTCTGGTTTTATGCCAGTACCATCCTGTTTGATTACTGTAGTTTTGTAATATACTGTGAAATAAGGAAGTGCGCATCTTCTAGCTTTGTTCTTTCTCAGGATTGTTTTGCCTATTTGACTTTGATAGAGATTACATTGAATTTGTAGATTACATTAAGTAGTATGGATATCTTAAGTCTTCTAATCCATGAACGCAGGTTCTCTTTCCATTTATATATGCCTTTAATTTTCTTAAGCAACATTTTATAGTTTCCAGTATACAAGTCTTTCACATCCTTAGTTAAGTTAATTCCTTCGGCTTTTATTTTACTTAACACTATTATAAATGAGATTGCTTTCTTAATTTCCTCTTAGTATTATTTGTTCTAAGTATATAGAAAAATAACTGATTTTTCTATGTTAATTTTATATCCTATAACTTCACTGAATTCATTTGTTAGTTCTGACTTTTTAATTTTTTAATTTTTATTTTATTTGTTTATTTATTTATTATTTTTCTATTTTATTTTATTTTTTGGAGACAGAGTCTCACTTTATCACCCTTGGTAAAGAGCCGTGGTATCATAGCTCATAGCAACCTCAAACTCTTGGGCTCAAACAATTCTTGCCCAGCCTCCCAAGTAGCTGGGACTACAGGTGCCAGCTACAACCCCTGGCTATTTTTAGAGATGAGGTCTCACTCTGGCTCAGGCTGGTCTTGAACCTGTGAGCTTAGGCAATCCATCCATGTCGGCCTCCCAGTATACTAGGATTACAGGCATGAGCCACTGTGCCCAGCAGTTCTGACTTTTTTTAGCTTAAGTTTTCTTCTTTATTTTTATTTCCATTAATATGGTCATAATTCTATGCCAATAATAAAATGATATCATTAAGACAGATTGATGTTCTGAACAGGTCTCTGTTAAGTTGTCTTCTGTTAAGTTGTTAACTATGGGCCAAATAACCCATTCACCTGGTGGCAGCTTATCTCAACTGCAAAGTATCTAAGGAAAAAAGTCAATGTCTTGATTGTTGCACTTGTGAACCTTGTTTTATTAAATCTGTTTTTTTTCTTTTTAACATTTTAAATGGACATATAATAATTGTACCTATTTGTGGGATACCTAGTAATGGTTTGATATACTATAGACTAGTGATTAGAGCAGGGTAGTCACATATCCATCATCTCAAACATTTATTATTTCTTTGTATTAGGAACATTCAATATACTCCTTCTAGCTATTTGAAATCATAATCATCAGCTTGGTACCTGTGGTTCAAGTGGCTAAGGCGCCAGCCACATACACCTAAAGTGGCAGGTTTGAATCCAGCCCGGGCCTGCCAAACAACAATGATGGCTGCAACCAAAAAAAAAATAGCGGGGCCTTGTGGCGGACACCTG